CGGTATCTTAGCTACCTACTTAGGTAGAGGTATCAGATGAGGTGGTTTAGCAAGTGTAGGTAAGTAAGTACGTACTCTTCGACACAGATCAGAATGGAAGTGGAGGTGGTTATGCACTGCAGGTTGTGTGCTAGTAGAAGCTTCAGTGGTATACAGTACCTAATCAGAGACGTCTCCGACCATTCATGAGAGAGACCTTGGCAGGATCTTGAAAGAGTTAATACTGGCACATGTGGTGTTGGCCATGAGCAATCAGAACATATCTCTTGTGTCCCAGACTCCCAACTACCGGGTAGCCTAACCTGAACCTTGGACCTTTGAGGAAGATCGGCTGACTGGTCCATGATTTTGTCAGCATACCTTACCGACACAACTCAGCTTCGAGTTTGGTGCTTTTCGCTGCCTGGGAGTTGTCTGAGTCTTGTACTTGACCTGGTGGCATCTGTTCAAGCCAACAACGTGAGCGTAGCTGTCACTAGATTGGGAGCATTCTCCAAGAATCTACTTACCACGTCCTGCATCCAAGCCTCTGAAGCATCCATGTCAGTCTAAGTATCCATGTGATCCATGATTATCACCATCTGCTCCTTGGTGTCATGTAGGCCATTGAGCACAGAGTATGTATGCAACCGAGGACATGCAAATGCGGTGCGACCACAAATCGATTGCATCCGCATACCACTTCCAGTACCCAAAAACCATCTCCATCGTCGCGAGAAACGACTTACAGGCGATGCTACATCGCGCGAGGCACATACATATCGTGCTGGAAGGCTACCTTATGTTGTACAACACCAAATGCTTCCTAGTCTCAAGCGCAAGACTTGGTCTTCATTAATTCAGAAGCAGGCTGCCTGAAACTTCAAGGCTGATCACTTATAGTTGCATGAAGAGTCATGAAAGCAAAGAAGTCATATTACACGGATGGATAACATGATGCCGTCGTCATATGGAGAGGAATGAGATCACACAACATCGCAGCAATACTGGTCTCCAAGCAAGGCTACATGCAGCCTCAATCACGCACCAGCCAGCTTCCGCTGCCGTTCTCCGAACGTTGCACCGTGACACACAAGGTGCACAACAGAACAGCCAAGCGCTTTTCATCGTGATCTGGTTCAGCCTTGGCAATATGTGTGCTCTGTAATGATTCTAGCCCTCAGCTCCCCAGAGTAGGCCCAGTAGCTTATAGAGGAGGACAGCTCAATTTACCAGGGTAGCAAGGCCCTACGCAGGACTGACACTGCCCGTACTGTAAAACACTCATGCCTGTGCTGGAAGCACAACGCCCACTCTACAACGCTCCATGTGCTGTATGTATGCGAACTTGCTTTTTCCTCGCTCTGTTGTGTTTTGTGAAGATCGATCTTATTCGCTGAAAATGCGGCCAGGAGGGCAAGCGGCTATTGCTCTGGCTCGCTCACGTCCGGGTTTTGATTTCGCGGCTCTCGCTTCGTTTGTAATAAGGCATGAGGTTTGAGGCTGATTCTCTGCTTTGCTCTCAGTTGGTTTTAAAGCCCCGTCATCTCTGAACGATGACAAGTCGCACCGGGCCGAGCCTCCGCAACGGTGATCCGACAGCCGGGCATGGGTATTCATTCGGGATGAAATAAACCTCGCGGCTCGGCAGCTGACAAGATGGAAAAGTACCTTATAGGAAAGACGCATGTTTTCTCAATAGTGATGCAAGGTTTGTGGAATACTAGCTCGAAATCTCAAATTGATGGCAATTCTTGACTTTGGATCTAAATGGCATTGTCTCGACTACGAGAACTATCCGGTTGACGGTAGGGATGACGATCTATCAGTCTAGTGACGACCCAACGTTTCCAGTTCCATTGGATAGCAGAACCAGTACGTACATACATGCACCTACGTACATAGGTGCTGGGACTGCCTGGGCTGGGTCTAGGCCCTGCAGGACATGGATGGGCGTGTTTTAGAGGACAAGAGACCATTCATCATTACCCAGGATCTGCCTAACATCTCTCCACATAGAGATCGCGCCAGCTTTTCCTGGACTACAGCCCTCCCTTCCCTTTGCCTTTCTACCCCTGGCTAGAGCCCCAACCTCCTCTTCCTTTCCTCCATTGGGCTATGTTTCAGAGGCAGAGAGGAGCTCAACTCGCTAATTGGCGTCAAGATCGATCAGTCGTGATATCCATCACTGCGGCGCTTTAAAGAGTTTTAGAGTCTGTAACTGAATACAAGTCTTTTTTTCCATCTAAGTTTCAACCTGCTTTTCAAATAGGTTTACAGACGCACACTAGACAATTTATCCCAACTCCCGATCCACTATGGGGTCTATCGGCAACGACAGCTCATGTCTATTAGCGCGAACGTCAGGGAGCACTTTAATCTCTCTTCAAACCCTGAGCATAAGGGTCTGCACACAGAGTCATGTGACTTGGAACGTGATGGACTTTGAGTATGTGCTAGGTAGTTCATTCAATAGTTCTTCTGGACGGATTCAGACGCCTCACCAGGTAAAATTGACGCACATTACATGTCTTTGTTACTCGTCTAGCTATTCGGATAATAGTGAGGCTAAGAAACTGATATGACGCTCAGCACAAGGACAACACACTTGTCTAGTTCTTCTAGAATGATATTTGACAAGGTTTCACTCTTAGCGTATCTAATAAACCGCTGCTAAGTGTCCGCTTGAGACAGTCCCTGAAGCTCATAACCCTTTTTCACATCCGAGTCCCATCCGAGTCTAGCAGGGTCTCATTTCTCGACTGCTGTGGTATCCAATGTCAGTCACATTCCGATAATCAACACTAAGTGCAACACAGAATCACGCGCCACAATGAACTGTTCCCCCGAGTCAAGAATGACTGGCTCCAGCAGCCACAGAAAGAACCAAAACTTCCTTGCCTCGTTACGTAGCGCATACACCACCTACTGAGGAGCGCATACGGTACCGTCTGCTTGTCTCACCTGCAGCTAATGTCGCCTAGTCACAGTGATGCGATGTTGACTTGGTGTAATGATTCACAGTTGTGGAACAAACAGTTGCGATTTCTGAGACTGGAGGGAGGGACAGGCGCAGTGAAACATGGCCGTCAACCCGTATATGGGCTGAGACTGGTATTTGGTCTGATTATGAGTTTATCCTCATCTTATGCGGTAAGGTACAGTTCTCCGGACTCTGGCATTCCTCCGGGATTGGATTTTGTGCATAGCCGGTTTATTTATCTTTTGTTGCATTTCCTGACCGGTCCCTGCAAAGTTCCAGAAGCATGTTAATCACGGGCCATCGTGTATAATCACAGGTGTTGAAAGGCTGGAGGCTTTGAACCACCCGTAGCTACTCCGAAGCCTCTACCAATACCTGTTGCACATGCACCGCATGCCAGAGCTTTTCATGGAACTGACCCCTAAGTCTTCAGCAAGCAGATAATACTTACCCTTCACGATCAATTTCCAGTGTTCTACGGACGATGAATTCTCAAGCTGGACAACAGGGGCAGCGTAAAGAGTTACTTTGGGTCAATCGTCCCCCAACTGCCTCTTTTGAACCCAGTAGCTAGTCTCATCCTAGAAGGACATATGTAATAGATTATCCGGCCGTGGTAAGAGTTCAAATAAGATACAAGCCTCTAGATGCAATACATTCGTTAGTGGCTCGGATCTTCCGAGAGACATACTGTCTTATGCTGTGCGTAGTTCTCTAGTCGATTTTTCGTTGTGACTCTTGCTCGTTGTCATATTGTAATCTGAAGTTCGCGCCGTCTTCCGTATTTCACTAAAGATCGGCCCAAGAGTTAGTTGCTGGGAATCAGAACGAAAAAAAACTATGTAAAATATAAACTGTTAAGTAGTAATGGAAAAAAGTTTTTGTCGGTGGAGAGGCTCGAACTCTCGACCTTTGGATGACTCTGACTTCTCGCCAGATCAATCTGATTTCAGATATGAGACCAACGCTCTAACCAACTGAGCCACACCGACCGTTTTTGACATTCAAAAGGTTCAAAATGATGGTTAATAATGTTATGAGAAGTAAAAAAAGGTCAACAACCTTTAACAATGGGCAAATGTCTTATGACCGGTCAGATCTCATAACCCTGCTGCTATTGACTCTTCGATGAACCTCTAAACGCGGGGCGTATGCTATGTTGATTCGGAGAAACGTGATCGGACTCTACGGGAGGTCACGCCGTGAGAATCATCACAACATCGGGAGAATTCGTGAAGCCAAATACGGAGTTTTGTCGTATTTCGGTGTTTAACATGGCCTCGGTGTTGGAAGGGAAGATGCTTGGGTATTCAATTGACTGCTGCTAGAGGCGGTTCGGGTTGTACCAAGAATGACAATCAATGCATGGTGGGTGAGTGCCAATGGGCCACCGACCTAAAGCCACTCAACACAGTCATGCAATGTGCCACGACAGTCGACTGCCTAGTACTTTAATTCCACCTACATTAAGTCAGGCAGAAACCTCAGGAGTCTAGCATGATACTACAGAGATCTAATTCAAACTCATGAGTAGTAAAAACTGAGAGGCAAAAAAGGAACATATTCCATGAGTCGATCTTCAGGGTAACCAGCCCAGCAGGGCCAATGGAATTGTATGACATGGGCTAATGGGATTAACTTTTGAGCTGGACCCCAGCAACCAGTGGCTAATGACCCCGCACCTCCAAAAACCACACCTAATTGACCCCGCCAATTCAGTGTTCATCCTCCTATCGCTTCTGAGGCTCACGCTCGGCACAGTTGAGCTTTTTTGCCGCATGCGCTAACCTGTCCCTAGCTCACCACTTATACCTCTGTGAGTCTGTGGTGGCCGTCTTCGGAACCCGTAGGCCAAAAAAAACGGAAAATTTTCTTTGGGCAAGAGGGACCTCTCTGGAGAGCTACTTCTACTTCTACCTGGATCCTCCCACATGCTTTTAACTCTCTTCCCTTCCTCCTCCTCCTTCACTCACTCAATCATCAATCTTAAGAGACATCCCACTTGTTTCTTTTCTCACACTCACCAACAACCTTCACAATGTCCCCCACAAACGCCGAGTATGCGCTCTCTCAGTCGCACAAGGAGGTGAGCTACCCTCCCCCCGCCATTGCCCCTCGTTCCATTATCGAGGGTATACAAGATCCATTGACTCACACTCCTCTAGATGCTCGAGAAGTCTCTCCTCGACTCCGACCCTGAGGTCGCCTCCATCATGGTATGTCATACTCAATTGAGTACCTTGGCCATTTCCAGTCAACAATGACTTACGTCCGCTGCAGAAGGATGAGATCAAGCGTCAGCGCGAGTCCATTATCCTCATCGCCTCCGAGAACATCACCTCCCGCGCTGTCTTCGATGCCCTTGGTTCCCCCATGTCCAACAAGTACTCTGAGGGTTACCCCGGTGCTCGTTACTACGGTGGCAACCAGCACATCGACCAGATCGAGCGTCTCTGCCAGCAGCGTGCTCTTGAGGCTTTCCACCTCGACTCCGAGAAGTGGGGTGTCAACGTCCAGTGCCTCTCTGGATCCCCTGCCAACCTCCAGGTCTACCAGGCTATCATGCCTGTCCACGGTCGTCTCATGGGCCTTGACCTTCCCCATGGTGGCCATCTGAGCCACGGTTACCAGACCCCCCAGAAGAAGTGAGTTTGCCAAAAGATCAGTCCCAGCACACCTGTGGCAATGTGCTAATCATACGAAAGGATCTCTGCTATCTCTACTTACTTTGAGACCATGCCTTACCGTGTCGACCTTGACACCGGCATCATTGACTATGATACTCTCCAGAAGAACGCCATCCTCTTCCGCCCCAAGGTCCTTGTTGCCGGTACCTCTGCCTACTGCCGTCTCATTGACTACGAGCGCATGCGCAAGATCGCCGACTCCGTTGGTGCCTACCTTGTTGTCGATATGGCTCACATCTCCGGTCTCATTGCTGCCGAGGTCATCCCCACTCCCTTCAAGTACGCCGACATTGTCACAACCACCACCCACAAGTCTCTCCGTGGTCCCCGTGGTGCTATGATCTTCTTCCGCAAGGGCGTCCGCTCCGTCGATGCCAAGACCGGCAAGGAGACGCTCTACGACCTCGAGAACCCTATCAACTTCTCCGTTTTCCCCGGTCACCAGGGTGGTCCTCACAACCACACCATCACTGCTCTGGCTGTTGCCCTGAAGCAGGCTGCCAGCCCCGACTTCAAGGCCTACCAGGAGAAGGTTATTTCCAACGCCAAGACCCTGGAGAACACTTTCAAGACTCTCGGCCACAAGCTCGTGTCTGACGGCACTGACAGCCACATGGTCCTCGTCGACCTCCGCCAGCACAACCTGGACGGTGCCCGTGTTGAGGCCGTCCTTGAGCAGATCAACATTGCTTGCAACAAGAACTCCATCCCCGGTGACAAGTCTGCTCTCACCCCTTGCGGTATCCGTATTGGTACCCCCGCCATGACTTCTCGTGGCTTCGGAGAGAAGGAGTTCGAGCGTGTCGGCAAGTACATTGATGAGGCTATCAAGATCTGCAAGGAAGAGCAGGCTGCTCTCCCCAAGGAGGCCAACAAGCTCAAGGACTTCAAGGCTCGCGTCGCCAGCGGTGAGGTCCAGAAGATCAACGACCTCAAGAAGGAGATTGCCTCTTGGTGCAATGACTTCCCTCTTCCCGTTGAGGGCTGGCGTCTGGATGCCGGCATCTAAGATGCTGGAGACATGATTGCTCCTCCAAAGGTCATCCATCTCTCAACATGATGTGATGCCTTTACTCTCCAACACGCATTTAACATGGATGAGGCAAATGGCGAAACGTTCAACAAGCATGCATTTCATCACGGCGCAGATACCTAGTTTGTTTTTTTGGTCAGGGCTTTTTTTCAGGTCGGGATATATAAGCATCCTTCAACACGAGATGGAATCGCTGGAAAAAAGGTAGTGGGAGTTGGGTTATGTTTATGATATCTGAGATGGTTATTTCCTCTCTCTAGCTGTTTTGTCACTCTACCCACGGGGATGGAATCAAGATCAGTTGGAAATGCACTCAACAATGAGTAGCACACAGCTAAATAAATTTAATGGCTGAAGCAAAGGACTCCTCGTCTCATATGATTCGTGAAAGTGTTCCGACTTGATAACAGTGATAGTTTCCAAATGAGATCTCAGTCTTGACCCCCTTAGTTCGCCGTTGGCAAAACTGGTAACTTCATGTGCAAGCTGTGAGATGTGGGCTAGCAAGGTAAGAGCACATTGAGGTATTTGAAAATGACCAAGAGAAAGGTCAGAGGCTCATTATCCATTATATACAAATTGCAACTGCTGACACATCGTTTGTCTGCTCAACATCACAACATTGGTAGCTTGCCTTCATGTTCAATCATCGCTTATTCCTTTATTTGCTGCTTCTCAACCGCATATCCCATTCGGCCCTGGATCCAAGGCTTTCCATCTCATGAAACAATTGCTTAACCCTTTCGCTACCAGTCCATCCATCCAGGTCCTTTCTAAGAAAAAAAAAAAAAGAAAATGGACAACGAGGTCTGTATATAATAAACGCAATATCCTGCCATCCACCCCGACTTACTTGTGCCCATCCTCATTAATCCATCAGGTGTTGACCTTTTCCATACGCCGGCTAGCCATCAAGAGTCAAACCACCCACATAATGCCTGCTTTTGTTGTCCGAAGGAAATCACGACTTGAAAGCCACTCGCGCAACACATCGTGTACGAGTGGTGAAGTTAAGTACAATGGCCTTTCGTCTTCATGTATCGAATAAGCAAGTGCTGTGCCAACCCCAGAGCTCCGAATAGAAACGACCAGTAAAGAAAGAGACAGAAACGCCTTGGATGGATGATTTATTGAGTGGTTGCTCATATGCAAGATAAAAGAATAACGATAAAACCAAAGACCAGCTTCAAAAGCCCATAAAATGTTTGCCAGGGGTATGTAAAAGGACGTCAATACCAAATGTATGAAAAGTAGTACATGATTTATATGAAAAGTAAGTTGTAAGGCACTGGCACAACAGAGTGAGTGCATGTTTGCGAGAGCGGGCATGGTATGGTGTCTATGGAGGACACCAAACTCTCGAATAGTTTATAGTTGCCTGAGGCGTTGCACGCCACTACGGAGCAATGCTTTCTGGGCTCATCATGCCGACAGTGTCGTCCTTGTCTGTTTGGCTGGCGTTGCCCTGACTATGTATGCTGTCCTGCCTCTCCATGTTTGGAGCCAAAGCGAGAACTGCAGGGTTGGGGGCCGAGCCAGTTGCTGCACTCATGGACTTCTTCTTGCCAGGGGTAGTACCTGGTGCGCCCTTTTCGGGTGATGCGTTTGCATTCGCTTTGGCCTCGGCAGCGGCAGCTTCCATCTTCTTCTTCTTCTTCGCGAGTGCCAATTGCTCCTTAGGAGATCGTTTCTGAGCGGTTACAATCTTTCCACTCGCGCCCAACCGTGGACGAGGTTTCTTTTGCTTGGTAGGCAGGTCTTCGTCCTCCACAAGGGGCTGATCGCCATTAGCGTGCAGCTTAGCCAGGAAGAAGTTCTTGACCAGGCCAATTTGTTCCTGAATGTTCTCCTTAGTGACTGGCTCTGAAGAAGGCAGTGGTTCAAAGAGATCAGTGGCTGCTTCGCCAGTCGTCTGTGTCTGCATCTGGTATTGATTGCGGACTCTAGTTTGCAAAAGATGCAAGGGCACGGAAATCATATCAAGTCCCATCTCCTTATCCAGACCCAAGGCCCGGAAACCAAAGAAATCTTCACCGAGGTCCTCAGCAAAGTCACCACTAACGAACTGCTCACTGCCGTCTTTGAAAGCACCAACCCCATCAGTTCCGGCATCTTGAGCCAGAGCAGGTCGTAATAGGTCAGTGAGATGAAGCTTCATCCGCTCATGTAGAGCATCTAACTTGGTGCTCAAACGATCGAGCTCATCCTTCGCGTACAATTCCAACGAACTGATGTCGTGACCATTCTCGTCCAGGGTGTGGAGGATGACTTCCTCAGGAGTGAACCTGTGTTGAAATTTGGACCCTTGAGCATGCGCCGGAGATGGCTTCTTTTCTGACTCGTTGTAAACATTAAAAGTACGGCACAGCTTCTGAAAGTAATCTGATGCAACGCTGGTGAAGGCGTCCATGGCTGAAGGCTGGAGTTCCTCGAATCCCGTATGATAGAGGACTTTGGCAATCGAGCGCTTAAGGGCGTTTTGGCATGTTTCGGGGGCCATCACAGGACCGTCATCGCTGATGAAATGAGGTTCAATATCCTGTTCCACGAAGGGATCCGAGTTTGACTTGGGAAATTGGTTTGTATACACCTATATCAGATTAACAGATTAGTAAATGAGTAGTACCCATCATGGTTTTGACATACCTGAGTTTGAACTTGCATCTGTTTGATGACCGAGATCCTGGTTGCAAGTTTCCTTGTCTCTTGAATCTGATGTATATTCTCATCCATCTTCTTCGTCAGACGACTTGTTGGTGCTGTAAATGACCCAGGCGGCACCAGGCGTAGAAACTCCTCGTGCTGGTTGATAACTTTCCCTTCTCCATCTTCGACCCATTGAAGTTTGGGGTGAATATCCGGTATGTTGCTCAACGTATCATAGTAGTCGGGTATCACCTTAGCCTCTTCTTCCTCAATTTCCTCAGCCAGAGTCTCGGTTGGCTTTGTTGCCGAATCTTCAGAAGCCACAGCTGTAGAATTTGCTTGAGAATGAGTAATGATACCTTCTGCCTCTGCCTCCCTTTGTCGCTTGAGGAATCGACGCATACCAGCCTTGGAGCGAACGAGTGCAGGGGCTTCGGTGTTGAACTTGTTGTCCTTGAAAAGCTGAAACCGCTCCTTGGCAACCAGAGCTCGATCCTTCTTAGTAGTTTGCTTCCATACTTTGTACTCTTCATCCTCAAAGGCCTGCTCGGCAGCTTCACCAAACGCTGAGTTTAGTGCCAGGCCATTGATACTTGGCCCATCAATGTCCATGGCATCGGCGTTACTCCCCATTCCGGAATGGCCGTTAAGTCCGCTTGGTGTGAGGGAACCGGCAATCGGTGGAGTGGCAAAGCCATTGCTGCCGTCAACCTCTGAGCCTTCTCGGACTTTTCCCAGAAGCCCATTTACTTGAAGAATGGGCTTCTGATCTATTGCTGGTGTGTCCTCTTTCTGATCGTTTGGGGCCTTTCGTGCCTTGCTTGTCCCCTTTGCACCAGCTTTGCGACCTCGTGAAGACATAATGGGCTCATCATCGGAATCCTCTCCAGCATCGTCGTCTCCGCCATTCTGTTTTCGCCGTTCTTCTGCCTCAACCTCCGCTCGAGAGCGGATGACAAGGTCTGGTATCAATGGAATAAGTTTCTCTGCTTCCTTTCTCATCCCATTGGCCATGCGTCGTAGAGGGTGATTCATATCTTGGTTGTACCTGAGGCAGTTGTCCCAGATCAGGTTAAGATCCACAACAAAATCAGCCTTGGATTTGTAAGTCAGACTTTTCAACTTCTTGGTCATTGTGCCAAGATCCATGGGGTTTTTGATGACTAGAGGTAAATTAGTTTCGTCAGTGGCACGAGACTGTTCGTGGTTTCTCACAATTGTAGTAGTCTGGAGCATCCCTCTTGTTCACTCTTGTCAGAAAAGGAGTGGAATATTCCGTATGCGCCTTGAGTTCTGTCAAGACCTTTTCTAAAGCCTCGTACAATTCCTCCTGGTTCACATTCTCCTCGCTGGCCCATTTACTCCTATTTTTACGGACCTCGTTCATCAAGAGCCTAAGTTCGGCATCAGAGGCGCGAACCTGATCTCGCTTCATGTCGATACGAGCGATGAGATGTTTCAATGTTAGGCTAGAAGCGCCGAGATTGGCACTACTGAGTGAGCCTTGGTTTGGAACAGCACTATGGTTATTAATTGGATGATGGTTGTGATCCATCTCGGCCTGGAGCTGCTTCTCGGAATCTTCAAGTTGTTGTTGTTCTAGCATAGCGGCATGGTCATTCTCCAAGGTATGAAAGATGGTGTGGAAACTCCTCCGAGCGGCAGCTTCGGTAGCTGTACGAGCTTCCTCAAGTTTCTTGATGGCATCTTCACCATCTTCATCTTTCGACTGTGAGCCATCTTGATCCTTGGATTTGTCACCATGCTTGCTTGGTGATGTCACCGAATGAACAGGTGAGCTCCCTGATTTGGACGGCGACAGTAACGTATTGGCAGGGGCTCCAGCAGAATGAGGTTTTGATGCTGATTGCGAAGGCTCGTCATCTTCTTCGTCGTCATCATCATCGTCGTAGTCGTCCTCATCGATGGTGCGCTTTGCTTTCTTTAAGGGGGGTTCCTTGATTGGTTCGTGGTCGGTCGTGGGAGGGATAATGTTTGCGGAGGGGGGCGGAGAACGTCGTAGCGCAGATATCGCGGGATAATTATAAGAACCATCTTCGGAGAAAAGCAACGCGACCTTGTCCTCGGTCTTGCGATATAAATCCGCAAATAGGGCGCGTCGGTTCTCTTCCTCGATGTCAAGTGGTGCCTCAGGCATCAGCACACTTGGATTATCAATAGGAGTCTGAGTTCGCGCAGGGACATCATCGAGATGCGATACGCTCCTATTACTGTTGGTATGGTGCAAGTAGGGAGGTTGCCAGGCGGGCTGGCCGTTGGTGATGGACATGATGGACCCAGGGCGATGATAGCGACAACGGGGCGCGAGTCGCCATGCGCAACAAGATGCGCTCGCGTGCGGCGGGACCGAGGGCGATTGGTGAGCTCAAGACCACATGGGACAAACGAGAGGCATCGGTAGAGATGGCGTATAAAATTTGTTGATTATATGGCAAGCGGAGGGTGGTGTTTTGATGGATCGCGTTCTGCCGTTTTGTCGTCTGTTCAAGAGGTGAGGTTGATGATTTGGGGGGAGCCTTGTCAGGTACCTTTCCCGAAGCGGAGAGTTTTCCCTGAGTGAGCGCGCGCTGGACCGACTCGTGGGGGAATCTCGCGGGGGAGAGTTGCGGGTACTAAGGACCTGAAGAGGCTGAGGTTATAGGCGGGTCAGTGTAGGTGAATGGAGAGTTGCCTCAAGGCGCTTAATTCTCCTCTCTCTACTGAAACTATTGATCGGTATGGCAATCCCTTTGTTCGTTCGATTGTCTGGTCTTCGGCACACTCCCTTCTCATTGATTGTCCACAATGTATTCCGTACCTCCAGAGGACCTGTTTCGGCCCCGAGGATGCCCGGAGCCTACCTTGCCTACCAGGTATCTTTGTCAGCAAGTCACGTGCCAGAAATCTCTTGACTGGGCTCTCCGGACTCCGTACTACCTAGGTAGGTCCTCAGGTAAACCTACGAGCAGATGGAAATTGAAGTCAAGCAACATCTGGGAGTTCAACTTTTAGCATGTCTATCTTCAGGGACCATTATAAGGAACTCAGCACACGCTAACCTGTATGTGAATCGTGTATCGAGCCCCTTCATCAAGGGGTGTAGGTATTACTAGTGACAATGAATGTACGCAAACAATGCAATACGCATCCCTGTCTCCACAAACCATTGATGAAGAACAACGCCATCTTTCTAGATCACCCCGGACATTATCTGTAGCCAGTGATACACAAGATCGAGGAGTATGGGGGGCGGGATGCCTGCATCTGTGTCTGTGCCTAGCATGCCCAAAATGGAGCCCCCAATGAGACCACCAAAATCAAACTCTTGGTTGTAGCCTTACAACCTCCCGAGGCGTGAAGGATGATGGCGCTCCCTGAAGCAGCAGCCTTGTATCAGTGCAGTGTTTTTGGTTGTCTGCTGTTTGCTTAATTTTTGTATGAGCGCACAAAATCCACAGCTTGAAGCTTTATGAGTTACGGGATCAAAGGTTGAAGAAGTGATCTACTCCAACTCGGCATGAGGGAGCAGGAAAACTTCTGGCTCTAAACTTAGGTGTCAAAACAAAACCGTCTAAAGACCTGTATATTCATAGCAAACTCACTTGAGTTCTTTTATCGCTTAAGATGGAGGTCCTCAGTTTATTGTGTACCCATTGCTGGGGTCTGGGGTAGCACAGGAAGTGTCCACGTTACACTCTTCTTAATCCAATTGGATGGATGATATGGCAACCCCCTGTTAAGTCAAAGTCCATGCACTGCCACAGTTGCTAGACGAGCCCCGCCACAAGGGCTATCGTCGTCACTCAGCTCCCAACATGAGCTCCACGCTTTCATTTCCTCCAACTGCCTGCCTTACCTACTACTACTGTTACTCGGTCAAAGCTCTGAATCCTAGTCTTCTACGTATAACGAATTATTGCAACTTGTCAGGCTTTTCTCATAAAAGAACAGCCATTTGTTCCGAACGAGGCGCTACGTTTGGAGAACGGAGCACTCTTATACGAAATCGGAAGCTAGAAGGCTCCGTTAGACTTATCAAGCTCAACCCCAGCCACTGGACTCCTCATGATGCGAATACGGCTCCCGGTTGCAGGTACGTCATGGCATTATGTCTTGCCCCAGTGTTGTCAATGAACTGTCGTCCCATTCTGGGATCAATTTTCTGATCTCAAACACATACTCATTGGCCGTGAATCCGACTAATACCTTGCCAGGCGTCTTCCTGCTCCTACTCCTCATTGCCGCCTACGCTGGGTTGACTTCAATACAACTTGGCCAATATGTCAATGACAAGGTGTTGCACTTCACCACCTTCTTTGCGCTTACCGTTGTCTTTTACTGGGTTGTCGATACCAATCGAAGACGTGTTATGAATATGACTTTGGTCGTTTGCACAATCGTTCTTGGTGTCGGTTCCGAATTCGTCCAAAGCTTTCTCGATAACGGTCGGGAGTTCGATTTATACGACATCATTGCAAATGTGATAGGAAGCTTGTTAGGTGTTGGCCTTTGCTCATGGTACCATAAGCGTATGCTCGAGCGTAAGCGACGTAGACGTTACAGTGCTGTTCCTGGCGAAGAGCAGGGTGATGTTGAGCTCGGCGAAGGCCACGAGTCTGGAGTTATGGAAGGGAACAGCCGCTCTCAAACATTGGAAGAGGAGGTGGACAACTGGGACGAGAACGAGATCGATGATGACTGGGATGAGGACGAAACACACGAGACTTCAGCCAACAACAAGGCGTTGGAAACTAACGCGGACAATGGTGACTTGGGAGATACAAAAAAGCGAATGGACTAACACGACCGATGGGCTTAGCTATGGTCATGTAGAGATACTTTGCCACGACTTATGACTGGATGGCCCCGCACGATTTATGTTCAACTTGATTACATTTGTTTGATGGCTCGGTGACTGCTTGGTATCAGAGGAGCCAGACAAGAATACGATGGAAGTATTGCTCATAATCCTTGATATGTATCCTTTCCTCTATCCTGTCGCAACATGCTATGGGTTTGTTCGGTGGAAGAGATACAGCTGTATCAGATTCAGCTGTACAAGAAACAGCCACAGAATTATGGTCGGCGAGGGGAACTATGCTTGTAAAAAAGTGCGGATTTCCAATCTCTGATGTACAGCGATTTCGGTTCTTGATCGAGTTGTGTCGGCTCTTTGGAGTCAGGATCAGGGTCTGCGTTCGAAGAAGATGGAGTTATCGCCAGTGCTGATATTTCGGACATAGGCTCTTCGTCAGCAATAGACGAAGCTACTAGTTCCGCTAGTGTTGTGGCCACGGGCTCTTCATCGGAAGGAAATAAGTCTGCCAAATGCGGTGACGCTTTGAGCTTGCAGTGAGTCTGATATCTTTCCGGATCCCGGCTGGTGGAACCTGAAGCTGGCGCTGACTTGTGGGGAAGACGAATACCATTTCCAACTGCTCCATGCTGGTTAGGAAGACGACGAGGACGGCACGCCAGATATGCAGGCTCAGGACGCGTTTTGCTATGCCACTGCTGTCCGTTGATATAGGCCATGGGCACATGCGGTATCTTTGTTTGGTAAGACGGTCTGCTATTACTTTGGAATATTGAAGGCTTTCCATCTCCTGATAAGTAATTTCCAAATCTATTGGAAGTTAGCAACGGCAATATGAACCGATACTGTGAGTGTTTTATCCATTACAAGCCTTCGCTGTAAGATGATGTGCCCGGTCCCGGGTTTTCCTGTTGAGGAAGCATAGCGATCAATCCACTTACTGAAGCCCGGAGACGGGCTTTTGTTTGAAGACACGATGGTGCCAGTAGAATATAATAGGGGCAAATGTTCAGAGGATTTGGCGGATATATTTGAGAGAAGCTGTCTCGATCAACGAGAAAACAGGGCATTCTAAATTGGTAGAATCCCGAGGAGGGCTTCGGTGTCACTTTATATTTAGCAATAAAACTAAAGTAAAAGTTGAGTTTCGGAAATCCAAGGTAAACGGCGATGGCTATCTCTGATAGGTAGCCATTTTGTCAGTCTCAGGATGACCACAAAGCTTTTGCGAACAAGCTTTGCGATAATTACTTGATACTATGATGAGGGTCTCTGGCATGTGCCTAGCATTTTCATCGCCATTCAATCCGAGCCTAAGGAGACTATTGGATCAGGGATTCAACACGACTCCTCGTTACTGCACATCACTCATATCGATGCGTGTTCTTGTGAGAGCTTCTGTTTGAGTATGCACCAGGCACAGTCCTTGGGCGAGTAAGAGCATATCGATCGTTTTTATTAACAACTCTTGTAACTGAGGAAAGTTTCAACTAAATGCTTGCGCCAGGTTTGACTCAGCGTCATGCAACTCTTCAGCGGAAAACACCAGCTTGTGTGTGAGTGATGGAGCCTTTATAGAGTTGCGTAAACTCATGAGGTTGATCACTAAAAGGAGTACAAGAAGTTCGATGTTGGGAGGAGAAAGTGATTTATATGAATCAATAAGACCAATGGTATCATCGGTCTTGTGACTATTCTGCTACTTCAGAGAAGGGTATAGGTGCTGAGAATACACCGTGCACGTAAGTCTATTCAAGATCTGAGGTATAAGAGGTGGTCACGATACGGGGAATTCAATTTTAAATCTCCATATAGAGCGACTCTAAAGGAGAACAAAACTAGCAAAAGGAATACTCCTGCAGGCATTTTATCAGGGAGGTGATGTACAAGTCAAAGTCAAGGTGAGTGACCCCACCTTTCACCGCTGACCGAGCCAGGTGAGACCCCACTGACGAAATGCTCCAAGTCGCAAAACCCGCCCACGCCTGACCCCAGCTTCATACAGCTACCTCGTCTCGCCCAAATACCTGAATTGACACTGACAAGATGGCGTCAAAAGGAAAAGAAGCAGCGCAAAGGTAAGAGACCAAAGAACCTCCACCTAAACTTTCCATAAATTAAAGCAAAGACACAAGCTTACCCCCACTAGTAAAGATGCTACGCCAACAAACCCACGAGGCATTCCCTATGCTCCGTTCGTCGACAAGGTCGAGGACTATGTTTCTACTCGTGACGACGTCGAACCCACTCTACGAAGCTTCCAAGAAATGATATCGTGAGTCAAATTTTGTCGAGAAGCTTTAGGACGACACACGCCCTCAAATGCACGCTCTCTTCAGCTTGCGATGTAGGCGTTGGCGCTGACTCTGGATGGTGGGGTAGGAAATACCAATTCATGGAGATGAACCTGCAGAAGCGAATGGGTGGCCTCAAGGAGAAGATCCCGGATATCCAGAAGACTCTTGACTCGGTCAGGTTCTTGAAATTAAGAAAGGTGTGCACGTGCAGCGCATTCTTGGATAAAGCAGGACTGACGTCTAGTGTAGGATGACGACGAGGCTATAGACACGACGTTCGAACTTAATGACACTCTGTACTCGAAGGCGAAGATTCCTGCGACAGAGGAGGTCTACATCTGGCTAGGAGTAACGTCCCCTTATCGCCAAACATGGCAGCAGAAAGCTGACATTCTACAGGCGAATGTGATGCTCTCGTACCCCATAGACGAGGCAGAGACACTATTGAGTTCCAAGCTATCCACGGCAAAGACCAGCTTGTCTAATTGCGAAGAAGACTTGGATTTTCTCCGCGAGCAAATTACGGCAAGTTTGAAAGCCTTCGCTACCAGGGTGACCGCCACTGACCATGCCGTAGACAGTGGAGGTCGCTATAGCAAGAGTTTACAACTGGGAGGTTGTGCAGAAGCGAAAGGACAAGGTCGAGGAGGAGGCAGAGAAGAAGAAAGGGAAGTCCCAAGGCGAATAATTCAAAAGAAGAGGTCCTTCTGGTATCTGATGTGTCCATGAAATGTTAAACTGCAAAAAGTAGAGCAAAAATGAGAAAAATGCCAAACTCTTTGCCAACAGAGGTCGTTCTTCTAGTAAATTATGGGAATTAGCAACGGATCTAGATCTAGCGCGCCAAATGTATCACACGAATTGTTACGCGGACGCTTTGCTATGAAAGAAATACACAAATTCGATAACAACCTCAGAAATCCTGGTATTCGCAGGCATAGTGGGCGAGGAGCTATGAAGCTAGGCCTACCTAATAATAAGGGACCTACCTAGTGCCTAGGTGCCTGGCCCAGGTTGGTGGAGGAGCTGAAGTGCTGGGAGTGACCTGGGATTGGCTGTTATGGGATGAACATGGGCTGCCCGATACTCCGATAATCTCGATTGGCGCATGCAAATTGTTCCCGCAGATGCAGTTGGAAATCGAACTTCGCAACTTGTCTACGCCGCCGCAGATATCACAACTCCCGCACTTGATTGCTACGCTATATACAGACTTCTTAGCTGTGTCATTGGCTTTGAAGAAATGGGCGAGAAATGCTGAGAAGTGCAACCCGGGAGCTGAGGCGAGGGTGGCACTTGTCGCAAAACGTGACAACCCAAACCAAGGTGAATATCAAAAGCCGAGTTCTCTTTCGTTTTTGCGATGTAAAGCTTACAATTGACTCTTTCAGTCCGCTTCGCACCTAAACTCAGCCCAAGCCCGCCGATATGTATCCTCTTTGGATGCACTCGAGACCGCCATAGTCAACGGCCGTCGTCTCGACGACTATCAAAAGCGCCGCAAGAAAGTGCTGCCAAAGCGCTTGTACGATCCGGAGAATGTTTTTAAGTTCTCAGACTCCAGTCAAGACAATGGGCGCGGGCGAATTGAGCGACGGTTGAGGATGCTCAAAGGCTGGGTAGAGCAAAGTCCTGCAGTTCTACTTCGTAAATTTCTTGCTCTGGAACAACCGTCTCGAGAAACGCTTTTAGAAATTGCCGCCATCCGAACTGTGCGTCTTCCGGTTGTCGTGATTCAAATGCACCTTCGACAGCAGGCGGAAGCCGACCCCGAAAACAACCGAGATCTTGCCCAAGCGCTGCCAACCAATTCGGAATGGGAAGCCCTGATGAACACCCTTGAATACGGCGGAAATACAGAGGAGCGACTGCACGAGTACATGAGTATACTTTTCGCCAAAACCGACGAAGACCGATGCCGACTATTCTTGGCAGATATGTCTCCGAAACCCGTCTTCATGCTGAACTATCTGCTAAGATTGGGATCGGGCATCAGCAAAATCTCGACTTTGGACCACCTTTTGGAGTATGTCCAAGAACGGTTACGCGCTACGACCGAGAAGGCTCGCAAGATCTCCTGGGGTAGAGGACGTGCAAGCAGTGAAATGGAAAGATTCACGACAGAAGATTTCATGATCATCATGGAACGACTTGCCTTTCACTGTCGTCGTATAGAAGCAAGGCGCCTGATTGTGCTTGCCGATATAATGGCGGAATTCATTTTCAACTACAAAATAGGTTCTGCCGAACAGACGTACTGGATGAGATGCAAGTACTTCAATGCCGGCCTGACGGCTATTGCCCGTAATAGCGGATCCGGACCGCAGCATGCGTCCATACCCTATGCGTACGTCTGGGAGGCTCAACGTACTCTTCTGAGAATGTCTGGCAGTCTCCCGGAAGCCCTTTTGGTCGACAGAAATGCGTTCCGCGCAATCAGAACTGTGCTATCCGGGATGCCAAAGAATAGAGACGAGATCCACAACGCCACACGGTATTCAAAGTCATGGCCGCCGTATCTGCGGCCAGCAGACGGTATGGACGAGGCCATGGAAGCAGAAGAGAGCTGGTCTCGCGTTGTCCGGGCAGGGATGATGATGCAGGAAGCAGGATTCTCAAAACAGGAGACTGACAGCGCATTGGATATTCTGCTAGGCTTAACCCCTAGTGGTACCCCAGCAATTCAGCAGCAGGTCAAAGTAGATCCGGAGCAAGATCTTTCGGCCTGGCAAGCATCAATCATTGCTACCCGCAACGCTCATGAAGCATGGAAGCAGTTCTGCCAACCTCCAAAAGCTGGCATGACTCCTGGGCTGCCAGAATATGCAGCCATGTTCCGGAGATCATTTGCTCGTGATGCTGATCCAGAAAAAGGCACCTTACCGGGAGACAATTCTCTGAGCCATCCTACAAATGAGGACATGCATTTGACGGAACTGGAGAAGCTGCGACAACAGCCCCCGACACCTCAAGAGTTGTATGAGATGATGAAGTGCGATGGATTGCTGCCCGATGAACACATTCTTCACATTCTAGTGGCAAACGCCCAAACTCTCCAAGAAGCTCATCGTTATATGCGAGACGGAAGCACAGATCACCATAACTATGCTCACTTGTTGGTACCCGAACCATCAGCTGACATGCTGAAGGCTATTCCCCTGCCATTGTTCTCAGCGTATGTGGATGTGTTGTCCAAGACAGTGCACCCCAAAGGCAGTAATCTAATACGCGCCATTAGGCTCGCAGAGCTGCGTGTGGGCCGCAGGAACCAGAACTGGCTACCTCATGTCTGGGCACCTATCATGAAGAATGTCGGGCAGCATCATTATGGTCTGAAACTCACCCTGGAGGCACAGCTTCGTCTGATCATACACCTTGTGGATCGTATCGATGCCGTGCAGGGGATGACTCTATTTCTCTTCAACAGATTTGTGAGAACCCTGCGGAAGATTTTGCGAAGAGAGCTACAGGTGCTGGCGAGCGCTGTGGAAGCCAACAACACCAATTTCAACTTACTTGGCGCCCTTTATTGCAGAAACGCCGAGGAACATGGTGCCAACACCGAGACAGACACGGAGACAGGGAGCAACTCAGCTCTGCATCTATTCTGTGTTCTTATTTCACGTATGAAAGGCTTCTATCATGCACTCGTTGCCGAGGAACAGGAGAGGCAACGACCCGAAACAGAAGAAACTACAGATCTATCCTTTGTGGACATCATGCGATCACGGCGAGATCCCGTGTTGGCGCCCTTTGCTCACGACCTGATGCAGTCGCTGGCGTTTGCAGGGGAGTATAATGAAATGGCTCAGTTGACAATGTGGCTCATAAGGGAATGGGGCCCTCTACAGTCACAAGAAGACGAGGTGATTAACATGGAGGAGTTGCCTCATGACGTGGACATGCTGGAGACTCTTTGTGCGTATCGTGCGTTTGCGGAACCTATGTTGACTGACGAAGTGCGCAATCGCGTACGAGACGTCCGATTCCAGATTGGGATCTGGCAATGGCCAGGTGAGCAGATGGTACAGTCGTATATCCAGGCCAATGCCGTTCACGGACATGAAGAGTTGGGTCGGGTTCTCAAGTGGGCTCGCATCCGAGAACACAATCGACAGAACAACCTGCTCACCAATGTCGAGGATTTAGACTTGGATGCCATTGAAATCAAGCCTGAGACTGCTGAGCACCAGTTTAGCACCCATGGAGAGTTTAGGAAGAGGTCAGCCCTCCGGAGTGGCGAACAAGGATCATTGCTGGGAACCTAGGGTCTTGGTTTGATATAAACCCAAGATTGATGGCGGAGTTTAGACGCGGTGGCGTTTATCGTATATGTATAGAATATTGTACGACATCCATGAACAAGGCGTCTGTTGGCTGAAACGACGGTAGAAAAAGAAGCAATGAAATTTCGATGTAAAAGGGATCTGTGTATTTAGTAGCTTAAAGGCTAGGAGCTGAGCCACGGTCCATATATCTGGCTGAATACTGTTCTTACCCACCTACGCTACTAACGGGCGGCTATCGCTAAATGATGAAGGACCCGAGACGACGGCTCTGGAGGTCATCTATTCTTAACGCGCCACTCAGGGAGGAAGCATGAAAGGGGAAATGAGAAGGGCTGATCAGGTCTAGACCGTCCAGGCCAACTATGGGTCGACCAAGCCGGAAAAAGCATGATTTCGGGAAGAGAAGAGAAGAGAAGAGAAGAAAAGAAAAGAAAAGAAAAGAAAAGAGAGGACCAGGCCAGATTTGCCTATGTATCCATGAAGGCATCACGAAACCCTGTAACAGGCACTAAAAGCCTACAAGGCCGCAGGTCGGTTCAGTGGAGAGGGGACGATTGGCAGCTACTGTAGGTCCCGGCCGCAGTGGAGTCTGTGCCGCCAATAGGAACAGGCCGCGAATAAGCTGTTGAAACAGAGCGCTTAGAGCCAGTCTTTTATAGTACAGCTTGACAGAGCCGAGACAAGCTTGATTGGCTGAGGGTTTTCGGATATTTTCTTGTAAATGTTTTACATGTAAATTGCTGGGGTATTTGGATTGGGCGCCTGTTGATACTCAGGCGTGGCTGGCGGACAGGGCAGGGCTATTCATGGATGGTTCAAGAGAGAGGTTCAATGGGCCATGAAAATATGAGATCCGATACGACGTGAGACTTTTGTGAGGCGATTCATCGTCTTTTGCTGGCGCTAATTGGACATGAGTGATTCTTAGGGGCAAGCTCTGCATATACATTAACAGAGCGTCACCACCAACTTTGTGTGGATGGTTTCACTCCTAGTACTCTCAGCATACAATACACACTCACTCACTCACTCACTAGCCCTGATCACTTTCGTCTTTTCCTTTTCCTTTTTCTTTTCCTCTTCCTCTTCCTCTTTTTTCCTTTGTCAAGTATTTCCTATCTCTCTCTATTTTGTGTGACTCTCTTTCATACACAATCTGTTCCTTTCATTCACCCGCTTTGTTCTTCTTCTACTGTTCGTCATCTTCGACGCTGCGAACAAGCTCCCTTGTCTTCACTGTTTGTGCGTGCTTCAGCACCAGGAAACTGAACAAGTGACTCTTTTTCTGTTGTGTTGTGTTTTGTTCTGTTTGGAGACAATTCCTATTTACTCTTAATCAGTTTGAAGTTGGGAGGAAGCGATATCGACGAACTCGTACATTATTCTTTTCGTGCAACTA